CCACGCCTGTTCCCCCCCCCCCCAAGCACCAAGAAGACAGAGCATCCCTTGTCCCAGACTGGGAGATCCTATCTAATAAGAACAGAAGAGAAGCCAATGTTGGATCAAGCCAATGGCCCATCTAGTCCAACACTCTGTCACACAGTGGTCAAAAATGCCAGTGCCATCAGTGGGGCCAGGACGCTAGAAGCCCTCCCATTGTTGCCCCCCCCCCAAGCACCAAGAAGACAGAGCATCACTTGCCCCAGAGCCCCTATCTATACCTTGTGGCCAGTGTTCCCTCTAAGCTGAGTTAGTGTGAGCTAGCTCACAGTTTTTTAGCCTCCAGCTCACACATTTTTGCCTTTGCTCAGAAAGGATGGCTCCAGAGCAGACTATGTATGCAGCAGCCAAATCGTTCGCTCACAACTTTAATGCCAGTAGCTCACAAAGTAGAATTTTTGCTCACAAGACTCCACAGCTTAGAGGGAACATTGCTTGTGGCTAATAGCCACCAATGGACCTCTGCTCCATATGCTTTTTTAATTCCCTCTTGAAGCCGTCCATGCTTGTAGCCGCCGTCACCTCCTGTGGCAGTGAATTCCATGTGTTAGTCACTCTTTGGGTGAAGAAGGACTTCCTTTTCTCCGTTCTAACCCGACTGCTCAGCAGTTTCATGGAGTGCCCACCAGTCCTTGTATTGTGAGAAAGGGAGAAAAGGACTTCTTTTTCGACCTGCTCTATCCCATGCATAACCTTATAAACCTCGATCATGTCTCCCCTCAGCCATTGTGTCTCCAAGCTAAAGAGCCCCAAGCACTTTAACCTTTCTCCATAGGGAAACTGTTCCAACCCTTTGATCAATCTTCATTCAAAGGACGTGGCGTTTTGCCAGCAGCTGTGACCAGCATCCTCAGAGGTATAACACAGAAGGATGGAAGATGTGTTAAGGTGAAGTACTGGAAGTATTTCACCAGATTGTCTCATTGCAGGAGTTCGTTACACCTACTTATTGATTTCTGACTTCTTTCCTTTCTTTGACGGAGAACCACACTACTATGAGTGTGTGTGTGTAGGGGGAAATTACATAGAATCATAGAATGTTAGCATTGGAAGGGACCTTGCAGGTCATCTAGTCCAACTCCCTGCACTCTGCAGGGGGTATAAAACCACATGATTCATTGCTGATGGCCTTTGGAAATATAAATAATTTTAGAGTTAAACAATTTACTATAGATTACTAAATGGGGGCCTGGACCAATGTTCCCTCTAAGCTGTGGAGTCTTGTGAGCAAAACTTCTACTTTGTGAGCTACTGGCATTAAAATTGTGAGCGAGCAATTTGGCGACTGCATAAATTAGTTTGCTCTGGAGCCATCCTTCCTGAGCGAAGACAAAAAGGTGTGAGCCAGAGGCTAAAAAACTGTGAGCTAGCTCACACTAACTCAGCTTAGAGGGAACAGTGGCCTGGACCAGGTTTAGCCCCATGCCCCCCCCCCGAAATTGTGGTCTTCGCAGGTGAACCCCGAAAAGTGGTGTTTGTCTACATTTTTATTTTCTATACTGAACTGCTGAAAACACTCATCAGAGCAGACAATTGTGGCCAAACACTAATTTTTACGGGGGGAAATTGAGTCCAGTGACACCTTTAAGGCCAACGAAGTTTAGTTCTGGGTATAAGCTTTGGTGTGCGTGCACTCTTCATCAGGTACAGTGAAACAGAACTTCCTCAGTCATTACATATGGGGGGGGGAGGTTTAGTTGCCAGGAAGGGCTGGTTAGAGCCAAGATGGATCAGTAACTGGCGATAAGCATAGCTGAGACTGGATTGAAGGCAGTTGGTAAGACCTCAGCAGTTAAACTGACCATTTAAAACAAGCACGTTTTGTTCTGCTGCACCAGAACTTTCCCAGAATTGTAACTGCCCTGTCACCAAAAGGGGTATCGTAGAGCTGAATGGGACGGAATACGAGAGCGGCTGATAGAGCTGTTTTTAGTTCCATCTCTCTCTTTCTCCCCCCCAGCCTTTGCATAATAACGACCCGGGATTTCCTCATCCGAATACTAACTGGGGCCGACCCTGCTTCGCCTCCGACATCGGATGAGACGGGGCCAGCCCGGGTTGTCCATGTCTGGGCCTTTCCTACCTGACAGAAATTTGCTTTGGGCATCGTGGGTGGGCAGAAGCAGCCTGGAAATGTTTTAAGATACATGCAAACCACTGCGATATGCAAGTAGTGCTTAATAATAATTAACAGAAGTTATTGGGGAAAGTCTCCAGTTTACCCACCAGCATCATAGCGGAGTCCACTCGTGTGTGGCCCCCCTGAGGGTGGCCTGAGCTCACAGGATGCCAAAACTACTACACAGCTTTGGAAAGGAGGTTCAGGGAGAACAAAAATCACCTGGGTTTTGGCCACTGTGTGCCACAGAGTGTGGGATTCGATGGGTCACTGGCCTGATCCAACATGGCTCCTCTTATGCTCTTACACAGCCAGCGCCTTCTTTTTCTCCGCCTTCATTCTCCAGGCCCCTCAGGCCGGTGTCGAAAGAGTTCTGAAGGATCGTGATGGGATCCAACTTGTCCAGTTTGTTTCATGGCTGAGCAGCATTCTGGGGCCGCATTCAGACGTTGTGATAAACCGTTATTTATAAGCTGAGGTTTCATTGAAGATGAATGCATGAAGTCCATTGATGGGCCTATCAGGGCCTACTCGGACTCTCCAGGGCCCTCAGGACTTCTGTGTTTCAATACTTGGCTATTGCAAGAAGTTTGAGTGCTGTCATTAAAAACCTGTGACAGAAACCCTAAAGCCTTCCAAGGGCCAGTCAAGCGTGCCACCTAGAGCGTCTGGGGTCTTGGACCCCCCTGGTGTTTTAGCAAATGCCTGAGGAGGTGGGACTGTCATTTTGAATGTTTCTGATTGGTAACGGTAGCCTCTGATGTCAGAGATGGGTCTTTGAGTGGGACTGGAGAAATCAGCTTGTCACTCTTCGAGAGGGGGCAGGCTTAGATCAGATTCCTTTGACCATCAATACCTGGACATTTGGGATTTTCCATTGCCTTTAGTAACATGTACTTACCTCAGTTAGCCCAACTGTATTCCTTTTGATTTCAAAATCTTTGTGCTGGGTGTTGTGTGCCTCTTCCCTGTATTTTGTTTTGCCCCTTTTCCAACACATTTTGAATCCAACCACCCCTTTCCTATATTCTCTCTCTCTCATGATAAAACTTTCTCTGAAGACTTTGCTAAGCACGTTTTCCTTCTCTGGGATATTTCTCTAAATCTCTTACCCGTGAGCTGGATCACAAGGGACCTCCATTTTGCAATGTTTCTTCCCAGTTACTTCGTTGTCTAGTACTGCGCTTGAAGCATACTTTCTCAGCGGGTCGGTCTAGATGTTTTCAGGGGATCCCTGAGCTGTGGCAGCCAGTTGCTGGGGTGTTTCCAGGGAACCCTGGGTCTAATGTAGTCTCTCAGCAGTGAAAGAGGCCTTCCCTGTACGGCCGTATCCTGGATCAAACCGTTGGCCTCTCACGGTCAGTCCTGTCTGCTCAGACTGGGGGTGGCTCTCCAGGGTCTGGGATGGAGGTCTTTCTCATCGCCTGCTAGATTCCTGGGATGGAACTTGGGACCGTCTGCACGCAAAGCAGGTGCTTTAAGGCTGAGCCATGGCGTTTCCCTAACATCTGAGTGCAGACGACCCAACAAATGGCAGCTTGTTGGTATGTGCCAAAAAAGGATTTCCAACTAGGCTTGTAGCTGGTTTGTTAGTTGCGGCTTCTCCTAACTGTGGCCTGATGTGACGTCTGAATTCTCAGGTTCCCATTTTTCAAGTCACACCGGCCATAGAGGTGGCATCCTGGGGGTAGACGGGAGAAGGGGCAGGAAGCAGACAAACCCGGGTTTTATGGGCAAATTGGGATCTCGTTACTTCCATCTGGGAGGCTACCTGGAGTGTGTCGCACCAACTGTGGCTTAAACAAGTCCTGGTTTATTGTGATGTCCGAATTCCACCTCACAGGGCCATCCTGTGCAGCAATATTCCAGTCTACATAAATAGAAATCCCCGGGCTTAAGAGGGGAATATCTTTGCACAGGGATGCGCCTCTCTCCTCCCTGGTGAAGGTCCGACACTCTCGGCCACTGCAGCGCACCCTGGCTCAGTAATGAATGGGGAGAGATGAGGGGTCATCACTGCTGTGGGGGGGTGTGTTTGCTCATGATGTCCTAATTTTGTTCCAGGATTGAGTATCGGAGTGCTGGAATGCGAGGAGAGGATTGTTTGCAGAAGGGAGCTGAGCGAGTGGCCGTTGGTGATCAACTGCTAGAAGGATCTTAACGGATTAGTTTTGGGAGCCCTGAAATTCACCTGGGGACACGAAGTCATTTGAATGATCTTGTGCAGGGAAAACCCTGAACTAGCCTCGGTTCAAGAGGCAAATGCTGGAAGTTGAGAGTCGGGTGAGGGATTCTTGAGGTGTGAAAGGACCCAGAATGTGAAAACAACTCCCGTCAGGGCACTGACTTAAGTCGAGAACCTGCAAATGGCGGGAAAAACATACATTTGTTCTTACTGCGGGCAAACATTTCAAGGGACTTCGGCCTTCATGGTGCATGAGAGGACTCATATAGGAGAGCGAAGATATAAGTGCTCGCAGTGTGGGAGAACGTATCCTTGTCTCATTGACTTCCGCATGCACCGGAAGAGCCACGCAGGAGAGAAGCCCCATGGACGTCCCTCGGATGGTGTCAGAGGCTCCAGTCGGAATGCCCCCCTGCCCCCGCACCGAGGATCTGGTCTGGCAGAGAAGGTAAGCCAGTGCCATGAGAGTGGGGAAGAAGAGTCCAGCCAACCAGTTCCTCTGGAGGGGCAGCAATGGGGCACGGAGGCCAAGGCCTTCCCCTGAGGCTGCCTCCCGGCTCTGGGATTCAGAGACTTAGTGCCCCCCCCTTCCACAAGGAAGTTTTGCCCACGGGAGATCCCGGGCTCAGCCCCACACAGCAGCTCCAGTTAAAAGTACCTGGAGGTGCCTCCCCCCAGTCAGAGGGGACCTTCGTGAGTTATAGGAAGGGCCTGACTGGGGGGGGGAGAAGACGGCTGCGGAGGGTGTCTCTTGAACGCCAAGAGTTTCACTCAGCATGGGGCACGTCATGGCTCTGGACGTCTCCCGGCCGGAGTCCACCTTGCAGAGCCGCCATTTTCTCGAGGGGGACGGATCCTGGTCATCTGGAGGTTGATTGTAGTGGAGGGAGATCTCCAGGTGCCCCCTGGGGGTTGGCACCCTTAGCCCCTCTGCCTGTGTGGGCCTCACTGCAAAGACCCCCGGGGGGGGGTTGCACGCACAGGGAACGGGGTGGGTGGGGGGACATGACCCGAAAGGGGTTTGTCTCCAGGGGACCTGATGACGCTTCCTCCTTCTCTCCCCAGTTTGGCTTTGAGAGCAGCGAAGAGGACGAGGGGCCGGGGATCTCTGCCCAGGAAGCCCAAGCTCAGGCCCTCCCACAGCAGGACCCCCGGGTGAGTCTGGCAGGGGAGGGGAGGAGGGGAAGCTGGGGGGCCTGGAGTCCCCTCCCCCCAGTGCTCCCTCTGAGCTGTGGAGTCCTGTGAGGAAAAATTCTACTTTGTGAGCTACCGGCATTAAATTTCTGAGGGAGCGATTCGGCTGCTGCAGAGATTAGTTTGCCCTGGAGCCCTCCTTCCTGCGTTAAGATGAAAATCTGTGAGCTGGAGGCTTAAAACACTGTGAGCTAGCTCACACGAACTCAGCTTAGAGGGAACACTGCCACCCCCACCCATTCTGCCTCCCCCACCAAGTCCCCCACCTTCCCGACACGGAGGATCACCGCTGGGAGTCAGTCCCAACGGAAGGGGGGCTTTCCCGATCTCTCCCTGTGCCCCCCCCACACCCCTGCCCCTTCCTACGTCTCTCCTGTGCCCTGCATTTTATTTGGGCTGAGTTTATTTTATTGCCTTTGTCTGCAATAGAGCAAGCGCGCCTCGCCCTCGCTCGTTGGCTCTGCGGCCTGGCTCCGGCGCGCGCCAAACTGTCCTCAAGCAGAGAGCAGTGTTGGTCAACTTCAAATGCTGGAGATCAGTTGTAATTCCAAGAGACCTCCAGGTACTACCCCCTGTCCATGAGCTGCACCAGCAGCTGCAGAAGTCATGCCGTCAACCAGGTAATTCTGCCAGGGCCCCCGAAAGAGAGAAGCCACCAGGGAAAGGTGATGATGCCCATCTCCCGTATAAATAAAAGCCAAATGGTGGTGGCATTTCTCTAGAAAATTCCGCCCCCCCACTCCCTCTCCAAAGAGACCCCCTCCCCCCCGGCAATCTCCTGAGAGGGCGCCCCGCCCTCCCCACCCCGTCCTGTGCAAAGAGCAGGCGCCGAGCCAAATTTGCCTAGAGCGGGCCCTGGGTAGGGGCGGCAAACTCCCGCCCTCACCCCTGCCAAAAGCCCCCTGCCTCCACCAAAAGCGCCAGCCTTCAGGGGCGCTAAACTGCCCCCCCTGCCCCCACATGCTAAAGAGCCGCTGCTGCCCTGCGCGCCATGGCCAGACTGTGCACGCACTCTCTGTGCACCGGTCCAGCACCCGCCTCCCTGCAGGCAGCCCGCTTCTTGCCTGCCCGCCCGGAGGGTGGCACCTACCGGTTCTCCAGGAAGCCCACGTGGTCCCACTTCCCCATTGTCCCCCTAAGAGGAAGGGAAGGACCAATGCGATAGTGAACAGGGGTGAGACCTGATCAAAATGACCGTGTGACCTCCCCCCCCCCAGTGTCGTCACAGGGGCATTAGTGCACTCAGCGCAAGGCTCTGAAGCGCCGGGGGGGGGGCAGCCTGGCTGGAGTGGCCGGGGGAGGGGGAAGGTGGTGCAACCAGCTGGGCTGCGGGGGGGGACAGCGCTCTCCTGGGTGCCATGGCAGCGGCGGGACCAGCCTCCTGCTCCTCGGCGGTGAGCGCGGAGCAGGCAGTGGCGGCTTCAGAACCTTTTGAGCTTCATTGTCAGCTACAATCCAGCCGCCTCTCTTTCTGATCTCCCTTTGGAATTCCTTTGTTTGTTTGTTTGTTTAATTCAACTTATAAGATGACTGGCTACTCCTAAGTCAGCAGCGACTGAATGACCTGGAAGGTGAAAATGTTCTCCCACTGCAGTTTGCCTGTTGTGGTTTCCGATGCCAAGATTGCTGTCCATTTGTTATTTGCTGAAGGGACTGGCCAGTTCTGGGTGTGTCGGTTTCTGAGATCCCAGATCCCAGGGCCCTGATCTCTCCCGGCCAGAAGGTAGGAGGGGGGAGAGGTACAAGGCCAAGTGGGATCCGCTTGATCAGAGGAGGGGAGAAATGCTCCGTGGCGGGAGATGAGCACCTGCTTAACTCTGCATGGTGTCCTGGTCAAGATTGACGGACGCTAATCTGGAGAGCCGGGCTGGATTCCCCACTCCTCCTCCTCCTCCTCCTCCTCCACGTGAAGCTGTCGGATGACCTTGTTCCAGCCCCGGTTCTCCCAGAACTCTCTCAGCCCCACCTACCTGATAAGGTGCCTGTTTTGTGGAGGGTAAAGGAAGGGGATTGTAAGCCGCTTTGAGACACCTTAAGCCAGAGAAAAGTGGGGTATAAAGACCTCCACGTGACCCCCTCCCTCCTATGGTGGTGGGAGCACAGGGGCTTCTGGCCTGACCCAGGGCTGCGTCAGAGGATGCGGGCCGGAGACCAGTTCCCAGGCGGTGGCCCCGGCTGAGGGTTTCCTCCTGAGTCAGGCAGAGGAGAAGAGGCAGGCAGGACAGGTGAGGGGGGTTTCCTCCAGATGTGTCCAATTCAAGCAACGACATCAGGCCTTATCCTAAAGGTTCCCTGCCAGATAATTGCAAAACATTTAGTCATCCAAGTGGGAGATTTCATGGCCTCCTTCAGCAGCCTCTTCTACGAGAGAATTTCTGATTCCTCCAGATAACTCACCATGTCTGCTGATGGAAGGGGGTGCAGAGTCTGGGGGTGGGGCAGGATCCGTTCCTTAGCGTCTTTTCCATTCCATCTCTTACCCCTCTCCCTCACTGCTTTTCTCAGATGTGGGGACCATCCCTGAAGATGGAAGCTACAATCCCTGAGGTGGAAGGAGCTTCCTTGGAGCAAGGGCAGAGGGCGCAGGCCGTGGAGCGTGCCGAAGACCCCCTCTCCTTTGGTAAGGAGGACCCACTGTTCCTGGATGCAGTTGACTTTGCAGCACCCAATGCCCACTCACTCTGATGCCTCCAAAAGGAAATGAGACAAATTCCTGGAGGGCAATTTCTCCCATTAATTTAAAAGTTCATATCGCACCTTCCTTCCATCAAAAGAAATCAAGTTGCTGGGAAGGCAGGAGGTAGACAGAGCTCAGGAGAACTATTCAGACTGATGGATAAGGGGAGCCTCCGCCTTCTGGGGCAGCGGAGTGCTGAAAACCAGTTCCTCGGGGCCAAGCATATTGGGGAAATTTGGCTTCTGTGCCTGTGCTTCAAGGGGCCTCTGGCAGGCTGCCGTGGGAAACAGGGTGCTGGGGGGACGGGTGGCAGGCGGTGGCCCAGCACCCCCAGGAGCTTTGGGGAGGGGCTTGGGAGAGATGTGATGTCATGTTGATGTTGCGTCTGGCTGAAATCCTGCTTGGGAAGTGAGCCTGCCAAGATACACTCTGAAAACTCACTCCTATTCCCCTCGAGTCTCCAGATGCGCTCAAGTCACGTCTGGTCTGAATGGGACGGTGACGTCTCCTGCAACGTCTTTCCCTCCCCACCGTTCAAAGAGAAGTATTGTAGAAGTCTGAAATGTGTTGGCCACTTTTATAATCCCTGAGGCTCAAGGGTACCGTGTGCTTCTCTTCCGCTTCTCCCAGAATTCAGTAAAAAGTGTTTAAAGATGTGTTGTGTGTACACAGGTCGAGGTTTCACAGCCCGGGGAAGGGGTTGTGTGAAGCAGGGACCAAGCAAGCGAGCCAACGCCCTCCCTTCCTCCTTTGTCTCAGGAACAGGCAGTGAAGAGATGCTGTTGAGCCATCATCTTTTCAGAGGTGTGGAAACGGCTGCCGCACCTCCAGTCCAGGTAGGAGAGATGAGCGTTGTGGGATTCTGGGACCCCCGGACTGTTTCCCTGGGACCCTCCTGTTCCCCTTTAGTTCCTTTATTGGTTCTCAAACAAAACCGGGTTATTTACAATTTAAGCTTCCTAAGGACAGAAAGCACTTTGGCACTTACAAATCTTTTGGCATAAAAACATAACATTTCCATGTTCAGCACAGAATACTTCAATACAAACCTAGTGCACTAGTGTGGAATAGAGAGTGTTCTGGTCTAGTCAACAAGAGCTCTCAGAGAGCTGATTGAAGACCAGCCCAGAGCAAAGAAGTCTTCACCAATTTAGACCCTCAGTACCCAAAGGTTCAGCCCACATAGAGTAACACACCTTTAGCAGAAGAATATCAAAATGAAAAGAACAATTTTCACCTTGAACTCATACCCTAGTTAGACAGTCAAGACTGTTATGTGTAGACTGTATTGTGACCTTATTGGAAGCACACAGACCCCTGCTTCAGCAAGTATGTTGCAGGTCAGAAGCTACAAACCTTCTCACGAGGAGTCTTTGAGAGAGTGTGAGGGTGACATGGTAGACCTAGAGAAATGAAAACTATTCTTTTTGGAGCAGGGTGCCTGGCCAGGCTAGAGAGAGGCTTGAGAGATGACAGTAGCTAAGCCTGCAAAGCCTTATGGGAGAGGGGGAACCAAACAGAGAGGCCTCAGCTAACCCAGGCTGTTATACAGAAATGCCCCAGGCTCACTGATTTTTTCTGCCACAATGAGATGAGCAGGGGGGACAGCCCGGGTCCCTCTTCCTTTCTCAGGGAAGCAGATGCTCCTGCAGTTTCTACGAGGTGTCCGGGCGAGAGATCCTCTGAACGCCATTCCCTTTGCCCATCCCAGGCATGACATCCTGTACCTTCCCAGACTACTCCCTTCCAGGGTGCCATCTTTGCCTGGTGTGATCTCTGAGGAGGGAATCTGCTTTTTCCTTCAGGGTCCCTTTTCCTTTGAGGAGGTGTCCATCGATTTCACTGAGGCAGAATGGGCCCTGCTTGATCCGGGACAAAGAGCTCTGTACAGGGAAGTCATGCTGGAGAACTACGAGAATGTGGCCTTTCTGGGTAAGGATCTTTCCTTGGTGCCAAAGGTGCAAATTAACTTCCATTGTGAGGAGGCATGAATCAAAATATTGAACAGCTATTCACAGTTTTGAGGCCTGTCCCACTGCTTGGGGGGGGGGGGCTGTGGCTCCCTGGCAGAGCATCTGCTTGGCATGTAGAAGGTCCCAGGTTCAATCCCCAGCATTTCCAGTAAAAAGGATCAGGTAGGCGGTGATGTGAAAGACTTCTGCCTGAGACCCTGGAGAGCCCCTGCCAGACTGAGTAGGCAACACTGACTTCAGTGGCTGAAGGGTCGGATCCAGTATGAGGCAGGTTCATGTGTTCCTGTGTGTGTTCTTGCCCAGGGACAATAGAGGCCAGTGTTGTGGCCATCACCCAAGCCAGAAAAGGTTTCCTGGCTTGAGGCAAATGTCGAGATGAGAGGCCCTCAGAAAGACTCTGGAAGGGGCCGGATCCTCATTTCTCTGTTGCCAGCCTTTTCAAGACACCCTTCCCCCGAATGGGATTCCAGACATCCGCTCTTACTGTGATCTGGAAACGATCCTGTGAAGAACCGAAGCCTGGGTCCCCCTGGGTCAATAAGAATATAAGAGAAGCCAATGTTGGATCAGGCCAATGGCACATCCGGTCCAACAGTCTGTCAAACAGTGGCCAGAAATACCAGGTGCCATCAGGAGGTCCACCAGTGGGGCCAGGACACTAGTTGCCCTCTCACTGTTGCTCCCCCCCCCCCAGCACCAAGAAGACAGAGCATCTCTTGCCCCAGACCCAGAATTCCTATCTATATGATGTGGCTAATAGCCACTGATGGATCTCTGCTCCATATGTTTATCTAATACCCTCTTGAAGCCATCCATGCTTGTAGCCCCTGCCACCTCCTGTGGCAGTGAATTCCATGGGCTAATCACTCTTTGGGTGAAGGCCTTCCTATTATCCATTCTAACCAAACTGCACAGCAATTTAATTGAGTGCCCATGAGTTCTTGTATTGTGAGAAAGTGCCTTAACCTTTCTTCATAGGGGAAGTGTTCCCTTTTATCATTCTAGTTGTCCTTTCCTGCACTTTTCCCAATGCTATAATATCCTTTTTGAGGTGTGGTGACCAGAATTGCACACAGTATTCCAAATGAGGTTGCACCAACAATTTATACAGGGGCACTTTGATAATGGCTGATTTGTTCTCAATTACCTTCCTAAAAATCCCTAACATAGCATTGGCCTTTTTTATTGCAGTCGCACACAGTCTCAACATTTTCAGTGAGTTATCTGCTCCAAGATATCTCTCTTGGTCAGTCTCTGCCAGTTTGGACCCCATCAACTTGTACTTATAGTTAGGATATTTGTCATCCACAAATTTAACCACTTCACTGCTTGCTCCCAACTCCAAATCATTAATGAACAAGTTAAAAAGCAGTGGACCAAGTACTGATCCCTGCGGTACCCCACTGCTTACCAGCCTCTGCTGTGAAAATTGCCCATTTATACACACTCTCTGTTTCCTTTTAATAAGCCAGTTTTTTATCTACAAGAGGATTTGTCCTTTTATCTCATGACTGTGGAGCTTACATGCTGAGTCTGCCTCAATAGGTTTTGTTCATCTATGTGCCTACTAATTCTTTCCTTAATAATGGTTTCCACCAATTTACCCGGTATTGACCTCAGACTGACTGGCCTATAATTTCCCGGATCTCCTCTGGAACCCTTTTTAAAGATGGAAGTGACATTAGCTACCTTCCAGTCCTCAGGAATGAAGGCAGATTTTACAGAAAGATTATATATTTTTGACAGGAGTACCAGAAATTCACATTGGAGTTCTTTCAGAACTGTTGGATGTATGCCATCCGGGCCTGGTGATTTATCAGTTTTTAAGTAGTCTATCAGTCGTAGGACCTCCTCTCTCGTCACCTCAATCCGACTCCAGTCTTTCAACACCCCTCCCGAAATCAGCTGTTCTGGAGTGGGCAAGCAGTTCTCATCTTCCACAGTGAAGACAAAGGCAAAAAATGCCTTCAGCTTCTCAGCTATTTCCCTATCGTCCTTCAGCAATCCTTTTACCCCTTGGTCATCCAAGGGCCCCATTGCCTCTCTGGCTGGTTTCCTGCTTCTAATGTATTTGAAGAAAGTTTTTGCAATGCGTTTTGCAATGTGCTCCTTATATTCTCTTTTAGCCCACCTGATCACAGACTTGCATTTCATTTGCCACAGCCTGTGTTCCCTTTTATCAACCTCACTGTAACTAGCTTTCCATCGCTAGTCTCTTTGTACCTGAGAGCACGCAAGTAAAGCAGACCCTTTTTTTTAACAATAGTTTTTATTTATTTTCCATAATAACATTAACTTGAATGTCTTGAAGATAAAGCATATTACATATAATATTAACATCAGAAGATTAACTACTACATCATTCTTTGCACTTTAACAATATACATCAACAATACTTAGATTTCACCTGATAGTTGCAACATCATCCCAGGAGAATATTACTTCAAGTTACTAGACAGTGTATACACACGTGTAGATTATTCAATACTTGCTAATTCACTTTACCACAAACAAAATAGATCCATTACTTTAGGAATGTTGTCTTGCTTAGAGAGGTACTCTATGATAGGCAGGGCTCTAGTCGGGGGGGAGCTCTCAGGTATGGAGCTCCGGAAGAGAACCTCTAGGGGGCGGGGCGGTCACGTGGTGAAGCCCCGCCCCCTTCTTCACCCCACCCTCTGCTTCGATCCTCATTCCGTTCGGGAATGAGGACGAAGCAGGAGGGTAAGTAGCCGGGCCTTCTGACACACTTCCGGTGATGTCAGGGGGTGTGGCCTTCTGTCACTTCCGGTGATGTCAGGGGGCGTGCCATATGCAAATAAGTTATGCTAATGAGTTATGCTAATGAGCTCCGGCAGCTCTTGTTCTACAACAAGACCCCTGATGATAGGAAACCAAGTTGGTACAAACGGGGTGGGCGACACTGATTTATCAAATCGTGTAAGATTGTCTGAGAGTTTAGCCACGATATACAAATCCCACAACTTATTATGCCATTGTGAAAGTGTGGGTGCCATCGTCGTTTTCCAGAGCGAGGCAATGACCGTTTTGGCAAGCAGACCCTTTTTAAATATAGAAAGGTTTGTTGTGGATTTAAAAATAAAACTTCATTAAACAGCAAACTTTCTGAAGCTCAGGAACAGAAAAACATGGAAAGGTAACTGTTCTATCCCATTGATGAAATATGTGGTATTGGGTGGCACCTTTTTTACAGCATCAGTATTCCAGCTGTAGCCTAAATTACTTTAGAGAAAACTATTCATCATGATGCAGCAAGAAAATATCAAGACTTACTAGCATGGCACGAGCATAAAGTTAGCCTGGCTTCCCTCTTGTCTATACGTGTATTATACTTCCTACCACCTAGGGTCACGTTGTCCTAACGACCCAATCAAGGGTCCTCCTTGATGGAATTTTCCAGAGGCTGTCAGCACCCTCCTAATCCCCCCTCCGTCCTGGCTACACAACTGGATACAGTTTCTCACGATTAACCAGTGGCCTTGAAAAATATAAGAACGATAGCTGCAGGGAGACTCGAGTCACGAATGCCTGAAAGTCAGACCAGGACACTTAATAGTCACGCAAGCCCTTGGGGGAAGTAGGGTGCTTTGACTCACAGATCTGTTCACCTTATACTGGTTGGGATTGTGGGCTTTGATCTTGACCATTGTTTCATCCTTCCAGAAGAGTTTTTACTCTTTTATTTCTTTCCTTCCCCATTTAAGAATTATCACTTTTTCTCTCTGTCTCTCTGTGAATGAAGGCAGGAGTATAAGAGAGATGACGGTGGAGATAGACAACGGCCTGGCATCTGAAGAAAGGCTGAAGATTTCCTCGAGAGGATCCCAAGAACATATTTCCTTCCCAAATGAGCAGGCTGAGAGTGAGTATCCTTCAGGGCTATGTCAAGGAAAAAGGCAAGGAAGTGCCATGGGGGATTTCTGATTCACTTCAGAGCGACGTTTCATACAATCACGCAGCATCCGGGAAGGGTGGCCCTGAAAATCTGGAGACTCAGAAGGTCCTTGTGGGCAAGAGCTCAGTTGTGGCACTTGATGGGGTGAGGTATCCTTAAATACTAGATATTGTGGGGAAAGGTAGAGGGGTGGTTAAGATTAGCCAAGGTGGCCAAGGCCAAAGGGCCATCGTCAATTCTTTTCTAGTGTAGTCACATAGTTGCCTTTGGGGCTTACCACCCTCCCAGGTGCTAACAGGATCTCTGTCTTTACTCCAGCAGAGGATGATCAGAGGCATGAAGTGGGTGAGGAACTTCATCAGCAAATGCCAGATAAAGTTAAAAATGAAGACTTGAAAGAAAACATGAGGAATCGAGGTGGACCGATGAGAACGAAAGTTGGTCATGTGGTTGATAAGACAGATGGAGGTCAGTGTAATGTACATATTCCAAAGCACAGGATAATGAAGGCAAGTAAATCTATTTGGTCTGAAAAGTACTTTAGAAATAGGTCACAGCTCTTCATACACCAAAGAATACACAGAGTCGAGAAACCTTTTGAATGCTCAGAATGTGGAAAGAGATTTAGTGAGAGTGGCAGTCTTCAACTGCATCAGAAAACCCACAGAGGCGAGAAACCTTTTGAATGCTCAGAGTGCGGAAAGAGATTCAGTCAGAGTGGCAATCTTCAAGAGCATCAGAGAACCCAGACAGGGGAGAAACCTTCTGAATGCTCAGAGTGCAGAAAGAGATTCAATCACAAAGGCCATATTCAACTGCATCAGAGAACCCAGACAGGGGAGAAACCTTTCGAATGCTCAGACTGTGGAAAGAGATTCAGTCACAAAGGCCTTCTTCAAGTGCATCAGAGAACCCACACAGGGGAGAAACCTTTTGAGTGCTCAGAGTGTGGGAAGAGATTCAGTTGGAGTACCAGTTTTCTACAGCATCAGAGAACCCATACAGGGGAGAAACCTTTTGAATGCTCAGCATGTGGAAAGAGATTCAGTCAGAGATGCCAACTTCAGTTGCATCAGAGAACCCACACAGGGGAGAAACCTTTTGAGTGCTCAGTGTGCAAAAAGAGATTCAGTTGGAGTGGCCAACTTCAGCAGCATCAGAGAACCCACACAGGAGACAAACCTTTTGAATGCTCAGCATGCAGAAAGAGATTCAGTCAGAGTGGCCATCTTCAACGGCATCAGAGAACCCACACAGGGGAGAAACCTTTTGAATGTTCAGAGTGTGGAAAGAGATTCAGTGAGAGTAGTAGTCTTCGGAAGCACCAAAGAACCCACACAGGGGAGAAGCCTTTTGAATGCTCAGAGTGCGGAAAGACATTCAGTCGGAGTGGCAGTCTTCAGCGGCATCAAAGAACCCACACAGGGGAGAAGCCTTTTGCATGCTCAGAGTGCGGAAAGAGATTCAGTGAGAGTGGCAATCTTCAGCAGCATCAAAAAACCCACACAGGGGAGAAGCCTTTTGAATGCTCAGAATGCAGAAAGAGATTCAGTCACAGTGGCCATCTTCAACGGCATCGAAGAACCCACACAGCGGAGAAACCTTTTGACAGCTCAGAGTGTGAATAGAAATTCAGTACCAGTGGCCATCTTCAACTGTGTTGAAGAAGCCACACGGAGGAGAACCCTTTTGAATGCTCAAAGCATGGAAAGAGATTCACTCAATTTGACACTTTTCTACTGCATTGAGGATCCCACACAAGGAGAAACGATGTAACTGCTTAGTCATGAAAATAGCTTTTCTCCTATTTCACACCTGAAAAACAACAGCAGATCATATAAAGTATTGAAAAGTTTTAAAATGCTGAAAGAAGCTTTAATCTATGCTGAAACCTTATGCTACCCGGGAAGAAATGTTATAAATACATTGTGGAAAGAGCTTTCACCGTGTTCAAAACCTCAAAAATATCTCAGAGGGGAAAAAACAAGGATGGCCAATGGCTTCTGCTGCAAGAAGAATCGGCTGCTCTCTCCTTTAGCATCGAGGACTCTTCCCAGGGAAGGAACCTTCTCAGTGCTCAGTGTGTGGCAAGACCTTGAGGCACAGGTCCGATCTTCATGTTTCTCAGAGGATGCATGCAAGTGTGAAACTTTCCTATGGCTGGCCCTGGAAGTTCGTAAAGGCTGAGCAAGTAGTTACACAAAGAAAGGCCTTTTTTTCATTTTCCCCCCTCCTCTGTGAAACGTCCTCCTTCAGGTTATCTGCCATTTTAACTTTGAGATCTTCAAAACTGGCAGAAATGTATTTTTTATTTATTTGATTTATACACCGCCCTCCCCGCCTCAGCAGGCTCAGGGTGGCTTACACAATACATAAAAACAATTATAATAAAGATAAAAGCATCTAAAAACAATTCAGAACATAAGGTGCTAGCTAGTTTGAATTAGTACATCAGGGATGGAGGCAGCGGTTACTTTTTTCATCAGTTATCAGTCTTTATCTCATATATACAACTGGCACAGACTGTAGTGGTGGAATTGGGCACCTCTTTAATAATTATGGTGGTGCTGGTCATGGTGGCAGCTCCTTAGTCGCAGGCCTGGTGGAAGAGCTCTGTCTTGCAGGCCCTTCGGAACTGTAAGAGGTCCCGCAGGGCCCTGATCTCTTCTGGGAGCTCATTCCACCAGTAGGGAGCTACCGCCGAGAATGCCCTGGCCCTGTTTGTTGCCAGTCTAGCGTCTTTAGGGCCTGGGAGGGTCAGATTTAGTGACCCTGAACGCAGTGCTCGCTGGGGTACATATGGAGAAAGGCGGTCCCTCAGGTATGTCGGCCCCTGACCATATAGGGCTTTAAAGGTAAGAACCAGCACCTTGAAGCGAACTCGGAATGCTATCGGCAGCCAGTGTAATGACTTTAGCACAGGCTGGATTTGCTCCCGCATAGGGACATCTATCAAAAGCTGCTGCATTTTGCACTAGCTGCAGCTTCCGAATCTGTGCCAAGGGCAGCCCCATGTAGAGACCATTACAGTAGTCCAGGCTTGAGGTGACCATTCCTTTCCCAAATTGTATGAAGCAGTACGCAAATTTAGAGGGTAATGGATGCGTACAGCCTCTTTCCTACTGGTGTAACCATAGTGTGACCAGCTGGCATCCTTAATTCACAAACATTTTTATCTGACAAGCAGTTCTAGAGAGGCATTTCTCAACCCTAATCCTTCATCAGTCCAGCCTGCTGTGAGTTTATTGGGGTCTCACCACTTTGAAACCTAAAGCATTCTGGCAGTAGGATTAATTTGGGGTGAAAGGAAAAGGTTGTGTCCTCTAACCCAACAACTCAATAAGTTCTAAGGGGTCAGACCTCCCACCTCCCCCACAACAACCAGTACTGTGGACATGGACCAGTATCCATGGAGTTGGCAGGTGAACCTTGTGGGGCACGAATTCCCCAGTCCAAGTTATCCTCCCCACCCCACCCCCAGTTTCTCACAGAGAGAATCAGGAGTGGGAATGTACTGGCCCTGGTGGGTCTGGTCTGGGAGCAGACAGAAGTTCCACAGGACAACCAGGCAGAAGGGACCAGGTAATCAGGAGAGTGGTGAAGAGTCAGTCCAAGGGTCAGGTATTTATTTTTTTATTTATTATTCCATTTATTTCCCGCCCTCCCCTCGGGCTCAGGGCGGCTAACAATTAGGGCTCAAGGCCATGCTTAAAACAGTTAAAACAAGATAAAACAATACAATAATACAGTAAAGTGCTGGTGCTCCAAATTCCATGATTCCAAGATTCCAAGATGGGTTCTGGCAAGGTAGACCCAGAACAATGATGTGAGTTCCAAAGTGACGCTGCCATCCAGTCTTCGTCCCAGGGCCATCTAGCACCCTGATGGTATCCACACCTTTGTGGTGGCGGTGCGCTGGTGGTATAGTGGCAGCGGCGGCTCCTACTCAAAGGCCTGGTGGAAAAGCTCCGTCTTGCAGGCCCTGCGGAACTGCGCAAGGTCCTGCAGGGCCCAGATCTCTTCCGGGAGATCATTCCACCAGGTAGGAGCTGCCACCAAAAAGGCCCTGGCCCTGGTTGCCGTGAATTTGACGTCCCTGAGGTAACCAAAAGATGAAGGGACCCCGACCGTAGTGCCCTTGGGGGAACATATGGGGAAAGGCGGTCCCTTATATATCTCTCTACGGCCATTGACGAGATCGCTTCCCGGCGCCCTCTGTGCTCCCGCTCCAAACTTGCTCCATGGTATACCCAGGAGCTGAGTGGGAGTTAAGTTGGCTAGAGAGACAGTGGCGACGTGTTCGCGACGTTTATGAGATCCTATGAGATGGCAGTCAAGGCTGCAAAGAGGGTGTTCTTTGTACAGGAGATTGCGTCCAATAGTTCACGCCCAGCCCAATTATTTAGAACAATTCGGTCCATAACAGCCCAAATGCAATGGAATTGGAGATCAGCTGTGAGGCTTTTGCGAGCTATTTTGCAAATGAAGTCTTGACGCTTCGCCGTGACCGCCACACTTGAAACAGTGAGTGAACTAGAGCCCCCTTGCACATTTGCGTCAGTTTTGGATTATTTCGACCTGCTCAGCCTTGAGGAAGTTGACAGATTACTCGTAACCACATGTGTCCTTGATCCGTGCCCTTCCTGGCTCATTAAAGCGGGCCATGAGGGGTTGTGAGGAACTCTCAGGGAGATTATCAACAAGTCCCTTGCTGAGGGACGGTTCCTGGGAGCTGTCAAAGAGGCGATGGTTCGTCCTCTCCTGAAAAAAACATCTTTAAATCCGGCCAAATTGGCCAATTATCAGCCGGTCTCCAATTTGCCCTATTTGGGCAAATCGATTGAGAGGGCAGTGGCGGTACAGCTTCAGGGTTTTCTGGATGACGCTTCCACTTTAGATTCCTTCCAATCCGGCTTTCGCCCAGGTAACGGGATGGAGACAGCGCTGGTCGCTCTTGCTGACGACCTCCATAATTACCTGGATTGAGGCAGGTCAGCAGTGTTGCTGTTGCTAGACCTGTCCACTGCGTTCACACCTGGATCGGGGTGGTTTGGCAGAGTTGGTGTTGCTAGACCTATCCGCTGCGTTCAACATGGTCGACCACCAGCTGCTCGCTCACCGCCTCACCAATGTGGGAATACAGGGACTCACCTTACAGTGCCTTGTCTCCTTTCTCCAGGGTCGGGGACAAAGGGTGGTGCTAGGAGAACAGCTGTCTGTGAGACGCCCACTTGAGTGTGGGGTACCCCAGGGTGCAGTGCTGTCCCCT